TCAAAGAACCTGCTAACCATTATAAATAAGTAAATTATTTTTAAAATTTAAAAGAAATCCTTATTTATACTGACCAGGGAATGTATAATGGTTCTTGCTGCTGGAAATGGGTGAGACAACTCAAAAAACCTTCATCAGAGTTCATAGTAATCTGTCCAAACTTCTCACCTCTGCTACGGGTATGGGAATTTTTACCCAATCTTTAAAACATCTCTTAAAAAACCCTTTTCTCAGCGTTTGGGTGCTTTCTATGGCTACCAGAGAAGCCCAAGTACTTAGGCTGGCATTTTTGGCTGGAGACCAAGACAGGGGTAGAAGCCAGCAGCCCTTTACATCGCCAGGTGATGTAGCTCATCCTAACTAGTGGGTTGACACAAACAAAGGATACTTTCAACCCCTTTGCCCAGACTTGAAGGGTGTTTTTTTTTTTTTCCACCTCACACCCCCACCCCAAGACTGTATAACCCAAAGGCCAGGAAGCCACAGTCCTCTCACAGCCTAACCTCTACTCTTAACATGGCCTCTACTCTTATCAGAACCCTAAAGACAAGCAAGGAAGGAGGCAATGACTCTGGCAACAGGCAACAAGTGGTGGGAGCTGAGAGTGGAATTGATCCCTAAATCTACCCTTTCTCAAAGGCTCCATTTGGCGTCAGGGTCTACAGAGCTCAAGGAGGGAGACCTAGGAGAGTAAGGAAATGGAAGAGTGAGGAAATGTTCCTTTTTGCCATGCTACCCTTTTTTCTTTGGCCAGTCCACCTGACGGGTGCTGTGATTTATGGCTGAGAAGTTCTTTAGCCCCTCTCAGGAGGGCTGTGTGGGTTTGAAGTCAGCCTCTCCAGGTCATCAACTCCTCCTACTCACTCCTGGCTCTGGCCAGGACTGGATTCTGGGTTTCACCAGTCTGTGAGAGCGCTAGGCACTGGAGGGGGAACCGCCAAGGTTAAGTGGGAAGAAGAGAGCAAGGGAGGGGAGAAGGAAGGATACGTGTTGGAAGGCATAGTGTGGTCTGGGCTTGGGAGAAGAGAGAGAGAGAGAGAGAGAGAGAGAGAGAGAGAGTGAATTTCGGAGAAATCAAGAAAATAAAATTAGGCTCCAGGACTGCTAGCCTAGGTATTCTTTTGCCCCAGGCCATCTGGCCTGCAGTCATCTTTCCTCCCTAGGTCCCGCCTTCGCTTTCACATGGCTCCTGAGACAAACCACTGAAGCCGTCCAGGTGCTGCCTATCAACCCTGGCAAGATTGGGTACAGTAGGTCTGCCCCGAGGACATGTGCAAGGCAATACCCATCCCCAAAGTCGTGGAGAACAGTGGTATTACCGAGCTCAGCTCACTTTCAAGAGCATATCTATCCAGCTTTTGGGAGATAAAGGGGAGGCTTAGGAGGAGAGAATCCGTGCCTGGGTCAGAGTGCAGGAGCAGAATTGGGAGCTGATAGGGGGCGAGGGGAGGGGCGGGGAGAGGAGGAGCTGGAGCAGTTGTGCAAGCGCGCGTTTTTGTGTGTGTGTGTGTGTGTGTGTGTGTGTGTCCGCGAGCGCGAGAACTGTCATCTCTGACATCGGGCACCATGGCAGGCCAATGGGAGACCTAGGCGATTGTTCCTCTCCGAGAGCCCTGACGGGCCCCAATCTCTATTCACTTCCTCACGCGCTCTGCTGCCGCCTCTGTAGCATGCGGGTTTCAAGTAGGCTTTAAAGATGGAGTGGGGGGGGGGCAGTCGGGGAGGAGTAAATTAACAATCCAAAACTTAAAGGGAAAGAAAAAAAAACCTCTTCAGAAGTTGTTTTGTGGTTCTTTTTCCCCTTCCACACTGTCAGGTGACAGTGACCTGAGCGACTCGACTCTGGCAACTCTGGGGAGTCTGAGTCTAAATGCAGGCCGCCCACTCCCAGCGGACCTGGGCGCTGAAATTAGTGCATATGGCCCGGCGCTTCAATAGCACCACTACCACCTACAACATCCCCACTGCCCTTATCCCCAATCTCCTGCAGGGTGGGGTTGTTGGCCGCCAAAGCATACTTGGGGAGCAGGTCAGACTTCTCTGGAGCAGAGTCTAGGGGCTCCCATCTGCTCAGCATCTCCCACAGACTCAGCATTGAGTGTCCCACTACCCCTTCCACCAGCCGAGCCGCCACCATCCATCTAAAGCTCTTGGAGCGGTTGGGGGCTCTACCCAACAGCCGCCCAGCCTGACCTCGGCGGAGGCACTGGACCTCGCGTGGCCTATTGGGTTTGCTGCCGCCGCTGTCTGGCTCCAGGTCTGGGCTCTGAAGACAGAGGCTGTAGTGAGGCTGGGCTAGATGCCCCCCCCCCATCCACCCCAGCCAGGTGAAACGCTCAGCTAATGCCACCTGTTCTCACGCTCGCTATTTGTCTTGACAACAGGTAGTAGCTCCGGACATCATGAGCCCCAGCTCATTGCTGCCTCCAACCCCTCGGTGTTCCCTGGCCTTCACGAACAGCCTCCCGAGGCCTCCACCAGAGGCACTTTGAACGGACTCCTGCGACTGGGGCTCCCCAGAGAAATGAACGCGCGCCCTGAAGCCTTCTCGCCAGGACCAGTGGCCCACAGCAACGCCCTAGCAGCTGCGGGGACCCTGCATGGCTATGGGAGCATGAACCTGACCGTGAACCTCGCTCTGCCCCAGGGTCCCGGTGCCTTCTTCCGTTACATGCGCCAGCCCATCAAACAGGAGCTCATCTGCAAGTGGCTGGCGGTCGATGGCCCCGAGCTCCCGCAACTCTGCTCCAAAACTTTCAGCACCATGCATGAGCTGGTCACGCATGTCACTGTGGAGCACGTCGGCGGCCCAGAACAGGCCAACCACATCTGCTTCTGGGAAGAGTGTCCGCGCCAGGGCAAGCCCTTTAAAGCCAAATACAAACTTGTAAATCACATCCGCGTTCATACAGGCGAGAAGCCCTTCCCCTGTCCTTTCTCGGGGTGTGGGAAGGTCTTTGCTAGATCAGAAAATCTCAAAATACACAAAAGAACTCACACAGGTCAGTATTCAACACTACCTCATTTAGATCCTCTGGGGACATAGGGGGCCTCTTCCGGGCCCTCAGGCTGGATTTCCTTGAGGTCCATCCTGGGAGTGTGTGTGTGTGTGTGTGTGTGTGTGTTGGGGGGTGGTGGTATTTGGTGTTTCCATGAGCCAAGCCCATAAAATATTAATTATGCTCTTCTATTAGAGTCACAGAAGTTCCCAAGACTGAGTGTGGGGAAGACAATAAGGGAGTTTTGCTCTGGGAGGCAAGGGTGAAGGTGTTTGGATCTCTGAGTGTGTGAATGTGTGCTCCCTGCCCATTTAGTTTGATTTCAAGGTATTTAAATCGTATTGTTTTTCTATCTTAAATATATAGGAATAATTTATTTTTTCCCAGGTTTTTTTTGCCAACACTCTTCCAGCCTTACAACCTGACCACCACCTGAACTGAGGGGTCATCAGGCCCTTGGCTACTTCTTTAGGATTTGGGGTCTCTAGGCTAACTTTTGGAGCCTTGATAACTGGACACTTGGGACAATTGACAAACCTCTCTTCTGCTTTAGCAGAGATCCAAGGAGACTCATCTGCCTTAAATGTCATTTACCGAGCTGTTAAGTGAAATGGGGACATGTGTCAACCACATCTGTCAGTTCTAGTTAAAAGACAGGAAAGGAACCAGGGAAAGGGAGGAAGTGTTCATGTTTCCACAACCTTACACTGCATTTTCAAACTTCTCTGGCCAGGAGCATCTCTAATTAGTGCAATTGCAAGGAAAAAGTTTTCACACTTTCCAGAACAGCCCGTGAAGTTACATTAATTAGTTTAGCAGTCATGTTTATACTCCAGTTAGCCAGGGTTTTCTTGCTCACCCTCCTAGTTTAAGAAATCAACATTTCCCCTCTCCTGTTTGTTTTTGTGTTTGTTTGTTTCCTGGGGGGAGGAGGCAGAGAGAACTGGACCCAATCGCCAGAACCAGGGTATGAAAAAAGTTCCACCTTGGTGCTCCACTTCTCCTCCCTGGCTCTCTGTTTTACTCACCTCTATTATTGGTGGAAACAGCGGCAATTATTAGAGTCAAAGAACTCTTCCAGGCTGGTTGCCAATGCCCGAGAACGAGTCTTGCTAAATCCCGCCTTCTCTCGCAAACCCTGCAATCTTGAAAAAGGTCCGTGGCCAGGACAATGGCACAGGCGGAGGCCAGACCACCAAAGTCCACTTTTAGTTTCCTACTTTATTTCTGGAGCACGTCTGGAAACGTATGGTTTTTTGGAGTTGTTTCCAGGATGCCTCCTCCCCATCAGAGTTTCATCCTGGTGTGAGGCAGAAAGAAGTGAGGTACTGTTCACCGCCCAGGCTGGCTACTCCAGAAGCTGGCGGTCCACACCGCAAAGGTAGACACGCAGTCCTGAGCCAGAGGAGGAACTGATTTTTAATGACAGGGGAGTTCTAAACAAACACACTCTGCCGGCCTACTGTTTGAAGGCCGTGAAGCAGAAAATGGTTTAAATTCTTAGTTTAATCGACCTACAGCCGAGAAGCAAGTTCTGTGCGCCCGGGCTGGCTCAGGTTTTTTCTATCCGGGACCAAATTCTAAGTGCGTCCTTTGCACTGGCAGTCCCGATTCATTACCGCTGGGGTTAAAAAAGACCTGCAGGGCCTGGTCCACCGTTTCTCTCGCCCCCTCCTAAGCAATGAAAAGACGGGCGGGGGCAAAAATGTTTCTCAAATGGCAATAGACCTCACGACAAATTATTCATGAAGACAGTTCAACAGGAAAATAATTGCCTTTTCAAATATTAATGGCGTTTCATTTTCTCGAGTCGCGGAAGCGGCGAATGATTATCTTCCCGGAGTTAAAATTCGTCCGGATCTGAATCCCAGGCCTGGCCTGGGATGCGGCTGCCCGTGGCCCAAGCAGAAAGGTTTCACGTTGTGGCGGTCCCCGCAGTCCCGGAACAAAGGTGCCGCCGCGAGGGAACTGTAGGCGAGCCGCCGCGCTCAGGCCGGTCCCCGCCGCCTGACGCCCTTCCCCGGACCCCTGTGCCACGGACTCGCCCCGCCTTCCCAGGCGGTGGGCAGGGAGAAGCAGGGCTGAGGTCTGAGGTAGAGACTGCGCCCGGGCGGAGACGCTCGGACAGCCCCGCACAGCCACAAGTGCGAGAAAATGGCGTTAGCGTGCCGCCCTGCCGCTGCCAAACTTGGTCTGGCGGGCCTGGCGCGGGGCTGGAGAAGGGGCCTCTCTTGGTAGTCGAGCTTCTGGGAGGAAACTCCGGACCTTTCACTCAGCCCCAGGACCCGCTGTTCCGGAAGGACTGCAAGTCTCTGGAACAACTCTGCGTCTCCACATCCACCCTCTCAGGGTTCAGAGCCCAGACACGGTGGGAGGGAGGTGGTGGGTGGGAGTGGGGCTGGAACGTAGTGTTAGACGGGGAAATCAGGGCGGCTCCAACAACCGCGGTGAGGCCGCGAGGGTATGCGGGCATGCGGGCGCGCGGGCGCCGCTTCTCTTAGCCTCCCAGCGGCCTCGGAACTTCCAGGCCCGTATCACCTTCAGTGTCCTGCTTTTATCCGCCTCTGCTCCTCATCTGGGACGAAATCATTGTTTCTGTTTTACGTGAATGTCCAAAGAGGTGCACACAAAATGGGATAAGTGTGTGTGTGTGTGTGTGTGGGGGGGGGTGTGTGTTGTCAGGGGGTCAGAAGTATGGGACCTGGTGAATCTGTTTTCTCAGAAAGTCTTGTTTCCTTTTGAGGGTCCTAAATTGCATGGTTCTTGTTAGATATTTTTTGGGGGGCGTTGGGGGAGAAAATGAAAAGTTTTAGTTTGGCAAATACAGGAATTAAAGGGAAGAAAACGAGGGGCAAATAAGGGCACTGATTCATTTTGCATGTCTCTTTATTCATTCTTATAAAACGGTACCGATGTCCCGAGAAATAGCAGATTCTAGCACCGTTCACTGCTATATTGTACTTCCAATAGTCCTTCAGGGGGAGGGAGCAACGGTCGGGCAGGGACCAAGCTCTGAGTTTACAAACCTCTGCCGCCCTGAGGCGAGGGTGGTGCGCAAACCTCTGGCTCAGCGTGAGCCTGGGTGAAGATGGAGAATAGGGGCTTTGTTTAAACCTGACCTCAAAGCTCTCCGTCTTTCCTGGGAGTCACGGGAGAAGCGACCACAAAGGCAACAGTCCTGCAGCCGTGCACCTCTTTCTTCTCAACCAGAAGCTTGGGAGCAGTTCCCTCTATCCATGGAGCATGGCGACATCCGATTACTTAAAGTGTCTATAGTACACTTTCTCGCCTCCTTCCCGCAGCGCCAGCAGCTCCGCAGGAACCTGGGCTTCCGGCTTCTTAGGGTATTTTCCTCCCCAACAGGCTAGCGAATCCAGCCGACGATGAGCTCCCAGATTGGAGCTCGGTCTTCGGCCAGTATTTCCAACCTAATACGCACTCGCGCCTTCCCGCGGCTCTACAGGGCATCGCACCAGGAAGCCGAGTCTCTCGCGGGTCTACCCCCGCTACCTGCTGGCCTTCGGTTCGCGGGAACGGACCTGTAGTGACCGCAGCAGCTGCGCTCACACAGAAGCCTCCACGTTCAAGGGTTCGATTGCGAGATAGGCTGCGGATCCCACTGGGCCCGGGCAGATCCTGACGCACAGGCCTTTCACCTCAGGTCTGCTAGGCCCAAATCCCGGGCGTGGTGTCTGGGGAGGGTCAGTTGACCACACAGCCAATTGGGACTGGGAGAGCTGGCTGCCCACGGCAGCGTCTCCCGAAAACCTCAGGAACAGCGTAATACAGTAGTATTGACGGCGCTCTTAAGTGGGGGGATCCTGAGCAGTTTAGGCAAGATTTGAAGAATGCTGCTAAACCAGTGGTTCTCCACCTTCCTAATGCCGCGACCCTTTAATACAGTTCCTCATGTTGTGGTGACCCCCAACCATAAAATTATTTTCATTGCTACTTCATAACTGTAATTTTGCTATTGTTATGAATAGTAATGTAAATATCTGCTATGTGTTTTTCAATGGTCGCGACCCACAGGTTGAGAACCATTAAACGTTTGCCCTCGGGATCGAAGGGAAGAGGGAGGAAACTCCCATTTCCTGTAAAAATCGCCGCTGAAGTGAATCATTGCTCAGAATACCTTATCCTACGGCACGAATCCACACTGCGGACTTGTCATGTGCCTCGGGTGCGCACTCTTAAAATTATCCCATCGCCTTGACATTTACACTAAACCTCCTTTAGGAAACCGTTTGGGCCAGGATGGGGTGTGTGCGGGATGGTCCTCTGAGCGGGGAACTTTGGCTGGAACAGCAATTGTAAATTGAGCAGAAAAAACCTCCTCGGTCAACTCTGTTTTCTGGGCAGAGGAGCTTCTGGCTCCGAATGGAGAAAATTTGGTGGAAAACAATCGGAGTAGATCAGGATTTTCCAGGATGGAAACTCAACTAAGATGGGTTCTTCGTCGCTCCTCCTCCGTCCTCTCCCCCAGGCTTAGGCAGGAGATTAGGGTGGGGGGGAGGTCTGTAGGAGGCAGCTTAGCGGGCGCATTCCGACCCCGGAAGAAGGTACCAGCCCTAAGGGGCCGTGCACAAAAGTTTCTGAAAATCTTTACAGGTTCTTTTCCAAATAATGGAAAAGAAATTTAGGGAGGTTTGAGGCCGAGCCAGGCTCGGGTCACATGCACTAATGTCTCTGCATTGCCTCCATCAGGGGAGAAGCCCTTCAGGTGCGAGTTCGAGGGCTGCGAGCGACGCTTCGCCAACAGCAGCGACCGCAAGAAGCACTCGCACGTGCACACGAGCGACAAGCCATACACGTGCAAAGTACGCGGCTGCGACAAGTGCTACACGCACCCCAGCTCGCTGCGTAAGCACATGAAGGTGCACGGGCGCTCACCGCAGCCTCTTAGCTCTGGCTACGTCTCTGCCACGCAGTCTGCCGTTGTGTCGCTTTCGCTTTCATCGAACTTTGGCCGCGAGCCCCTGGTGGCCTCCTCGGCGGCAGTAGTGGCGCGGGGCGTCGAATTGAGAGAATGGTATGTGTGTCAAGGCACTGGCGGGGTTATAACTGTTCCCGCCGCACCAAGTCCGGCGCCAGCACCTGGCCTTGCCGCTTGCCGCCTCTGCCTGTGGTATTAGGGCTACTGCTGCGGTTGCTGCTCGGGTGCAATGACTGCTCCTATAGATCTGGTTCTTGAGGCTTGAAGAGGTGAAGAAGCAGGACAAACAGGTAGAAAAAGAGACCAGAAAAGTACAGTTTACTAAAATCAAGGAATGTATTCTTTTTAAGTATCAAATGCAAGAAGGAAGGAAGGAAGGAAGGAAGGAAGGAAGGAAGGAAGGAAGGAAGGAAGGAAGGAAGGAAGGAAATTCACTACTAATGGTTGTTAGAGGTCATTGAATATGCTGGCAGAATGTAAATATGTTATTTATTTATTCTACAGTAACACCGCCCCCCCCCCACACACACACACATCCACACAGACACCTTCATGACCTGGTAGCATGAAACCAGTGTTGGGGTAAAGAAGGTAGATAAACAGATGGACAAAAGAGAATTTATGTGCAATCTTCGCAACTTCAGGTGACAAAACTAAGACCACAAAGTCTTCCCGAGGTTCAGATAATGGGAAATATTTTCCTTCAGGATTGGGCCACTTGTATTGCCAGGCCCCACTCCTTTCTCAGTTCCCAGTTGCAGTCTCCACCAAAGTTCGGATCACGTATTTCTTACCTCCTATTTCCTTCCTCTTTTGCTTCCTTACAATTTCACCTTACAGCTGTCTTTTGAAACAAAAGTACACAAGTTCCAGATCCCAAAATTTCCAGCACTTCTATAAAAGAGATAAGAGAGTTTCAGCACCACTGCTGGGACTCACATGCCTTTCCCCTCCGAACTGACCCAAGCACACAGACACATCTGTCTGCTAGTCTGCTTCATATATACATCATATACTTGGGATAGGGGGTGAGTAGAAACAATGGAAAATTCAGACAAAAGAGTGTTAGAGGGGCTTTAGGATTCAGTGCTCTGAGGTCTCCCCAGACCAATCATCCTCTCCTTCTACCTCCTACCCTTGTCTAGCCTTGGCTTATGGAATCTTGTGGCTGCTTGGAGCTAGGAGTGCAGAGAGACAATGATGTCACTGAGCCTAGGTCTCCACTAAACAGGTATCCGACCTAGGCCACAGTGTCTATATAAATCCAGTCAATTCTGTGATGATCTTTCAAAAATCAGACAATGTTGATTTTTTTAAGGTGAAGAAGGGGACAAAAGATGAACTGCAATAACAAATGTTTTAAACGCAAATACCCAAATGGGTTTAGATTGAATGTGTATTATTTATTTATTAGAGAGAGAGAGAGAGAGAGAGAGAGAGAGATGGAGAGAAACATCAATATGTTGTTCCACTTATTTATGCATTCATTGGTTGACTCCTATATGTGCCCTGACTGGGGATCAAACCCATAACCTTGTTGCATCAGGATGATGTTCCAACCAACTGAGTTAAGCAACCAGGGCTGAATGTGTATTTTATGGGCTGGGTACTAAGTCCCCAGAAAGAGAACCAGATGCTGGTGGCAGGGGAAGGGAAAGTCTTTGCAACTGTTTCCAAGGGGGGCGGGGAATTGGGGCCTATTTTGCAGTCTAACACCCTTAGAATAGGGTTTCCCAGAAATCCTTGTTGAGATTTAGAGGGGGAAAAAAGAAAGAAAAAGAAGGGGAGGAAATCTTGCACAGATCCATTCCAGTCACCTAAAAGTACCCCTAATAAAAACCAGAATCTTCCCAACACATCCTTAGTGAATCTCTCCTTGTGGAAGGGGGACTACAACCTCCTTTCCCCCCAGTACAAGAGGGCCCAGATGCTGCCTGGACAAGGGCTGGGTTGGCAGCAAACCTTGTTCCCCTCCGGAAACACCTGCCCCATGGCCAACGTGCACAGGGCATGTGGTAGATTTGTGTCTTCTGACAATGTTTAAAAATTCTCCGATCCCCAAATTGGACTAGGTTCTTTCTCTTGTGTTTCTAGACCCAATTGGCCTTCCACCCACATCCAAAATAATAAAATAAAAACAACAATGTTTGGTAGGCCACTAATCGCCTATAATTTTTCATTTGCTTGTTACAGATGTCCACCGCGTTACTCCTAAGGTAATCTCGTCCAGCGCAGCTGAGAGCCCACATCTCGCGCCTGTGACATCAAAGGGCCCGCACACAAAGCAATGTTTCTTCGCCACGGTGCATCTTCATGGTAAGTTAGGATTTCTATGGCAATGGGCAAGTCGCACTGAAATCCTGAAAGGCCAAGCCTGGAGCCCATCCAGGCTTTTCATTAAGGACATAATATTTACGTCTAACAGGCCTTTCCCTCTGTGTATACAAGTATATATTTTTGTTTGACGCAGACTAAATCATTTTCATTTAATTTCCGGTAAACAAAACCCACACGAATGGGCACTTGTTCTCGATCATAATAAAAATGGATAATAATGGGAGAGAAGAAAAAGGCCGTTTGAATTGCCGCTCAGCCCTCTTTGTTTCTGCTTTCTGCGGTGATCAGAGGGCGAGTTTCTAAAGGCGAGGAAATGGTTTTTAAGAGAGGAAAGAAAAGGAGAAGGGTCTAATCAAGCTCGGGTTGTTCAAAGAGTTGAGTTTTGGGGTTGAAAGTGTGAGTTTGACGGTGCATCAGCACGCCAAGTTGGTCTCGCCATGGAAATGCGCTCAGGGAGCGGCCGCTTCAAAGGCGGCACGCACTTCATTGCAAATGCTCTATGAAGATACATTTGCGCTGACCCTTGCTTTTACGCCATTTGATACTGTCACTACGTTCTCCAATATATACTTCCCCCTTAGGACCTGCCTTGTTGACGTTTTAGGTGCTCACTCTGCACTCTAACATAGGTGGGTGCTTTGGTGCCAGGGTTGCTTTCAGGAAAAGGAAGAACCTGACTCAGCACACAGAATCTGCACATCTTGGCTGTCCCTCAAAGAGGCTCCAAGGTCAGGAGTAAATAACATTAGGGCAACCTCACAAGATTAACAAGTAAGCATGCCAAGCTAGATTCTGTGCAATGCACCTCTCTGCATCTTGAGCAAGGTGGAGACCTGAATTTGAGTGAGACTTGCAGGGCAGGGGAGCCACCCTGGATGAGTCTGAGAAGTTCAGACTGTGGCTTTCAGTCATTTCCACTCTGGCCCCAGCCCAACCCATTCTGCCCCTCTATCCCAGAAGTCTCTTGCAGCCCCCCCCCCCACCAAAACTTACTTCTCCCTAGAGTGCTGTGTATGGTATCTCTCAGGCCTGGGCTGGCCCTGGGCATGAGCTCAAGAGTGCAAGGCCAAGGAGATAGGGAAGATGGCAAGAAAGTTAGAAGTCCATGTTCCCTTAATTGTCATGTTGTTTATTTTATCCAAGTACCCTAGAGAATAGGGGAAAAATAAACATGGTGGAAAAAAAATCAAACAGTGGAGTCTTCTTTAGTGTCAGTCCTTGTGGTTGAATAAAAAGGATGGTCCACTTTCTATTGAGCTGAGAAATCTTTGAAGTGAGAGTTATTATCTGAGACATTCTTGCTTGTCGTCCTAACAACGCTGATGAAATGTAAAAGGTTCTTTGTCAGCGATTTGTTCTCCTCTCTGTCAAACTCTCTCTGCCCTGTTCGTTTCAAAGCGTTTCTAAAGAGATAAAAATCAAACTTAGTTAAAAAAGAAAAGACATACACACTAACTGGTAACTTTAGGGCTAAGTCCTGCTTACGGGAAAACAAAAGTAATGCAGAGACATCAGGTCCAAGGCCTGTGGAGGTGTGCAGATGTTGAGGGGCCCTTTGCACAGGCTCTGACACAGGCATGTAGGCTTCTCCAAGCTCTGGCATGCACTCAATCAGTCCAAGTCAGGTCACTCGAGCTTCCTCTGGGGACCCCTCAAGATCCCAATATTCTTGCCTGGGATCATAAGGCTACAACCAAGGTATGGTTAATATTTCCTGTTCCTTCAAAGACAACCTCTGGAAAAAAAAAATAGACCCATTGTGTGTTTCTTCTCATTAGCAGCAATCAGCAAGTCTTGTCTGCCATTAATAGGAGAGTAGCTTGAGGGAGAGAGACACTTTTATAATTTCATGTTTTCTTCAGAATCTTGGCAATTGGAGTTCAGAAGATTCAATTTACAAGATAGTGACCCCAGAATGCATGCAACACCCCCTCCCATCCACATATGCAGTTCTTCATGTTATACTGTGCCCAGGAAAAAACTTTCACCATGTCCAGCTTTCCCCAAATCTCCCTCATGTGGTTTTAAAGGTGGTTTAAACAAGCAAGATGTCCCAGTCTCTCCACTCTGTATGTGCTGACTAAATTATTTGTAAAATAGTTTTCCCCGAGCTGTAACCCATGCTGTTATTATAGTTGCAACAAAATTTTGTCTCTTGTATTGATTTTTAGTTGCTTACTCAAGGTCCCCATATGTTTATTTATATTGCTAATTTATGGGAAAATGTAATGATTACAGTAAATGTTAATTATACAGACAGGCAAATGTTTTGTAATCATAATTCACACATACACAAATCTGACTGAAACCCTACCCACACTGTTTGTGATTTATCATCTGTCCCCTTCCTAAATTATGAACTAACTTGAAAAGTTGTTATACAGTACTTGACTGAAAGTGATTGTTAAATGAAAACACAGTTGAAAAAGGTGGCATAATCTTGCTGTAAATATGTAAAACTGAATTAAAATCTGTGAATGTTTTCCCTCCAAATACCTTTGTGTACATGGAGCTTCATTTGACTATTTTCTTTGGAAATAAAGGATGTGATGTTTTCCTTCCTCTTTTGAATCTGAGTATCTTGTTATGTTTCATCATCCTGGGAAGGATTTGGGACTCTTCCACAGCCTCCAGTGCTCTTCCCTGCCTTCCTCATGGCTTCATAGGAACATCTCTGAAGACTAGTTGTTCAGGATAGAAAAACAAAGAGACCAACCAAAGGTGCCATCCTGGAAGAAACCTCCCTCACTCCCAATTTCACCCCAGTGAGATTGGCACTCATCAACCGATTTACATTATGGAAGGAGAAAAAGTAAAATTTTCTCATTGTCTCCCTGGAAAGGCTGCCTTCCCTCTGGCTCCACAAGGCTCACCCCTCACCAACTACCTCTGCCTTTCTAGAGAAAAGTCTAGTGGTTTGGAGGGAATAAAAACAAGGAAAGAAAACCACAGGGCAGGGTGGCTCCAATCCCTGCCTAAGCCCTGATGGGGGTACGGTTGGCTGCAAGTCCTAGCTGCTTTCCACTCCCTCCAGAAGTAACCCATGTTCAGAAAACAGCGAAGGGCCAAGCCTTCAGACTGTGTGCCTACGCCGCCGGCTCGCACGACTCTTTCCTGGGCCCCATTGGAATCTTCATTGGGGTTTAGCATGTAGGGGCACTTCATTTGGCCCTGCCACTGGAGAAATAATTTCATATTTTCAGAACCACAGGAATCACTAGCGCCTTCCCCACCTACCCGGGGGTTAGGGAGTCTCTGGGCCTTCGCGTCCTCACATTCCCCTCCCACTGCGCAGGCGTAGGGTCCAGCGCCGTGGCCGGCTCAACTCCGTAGTAGATTCCCGCTGGCCTGGCTGGGGTCGGGATCGCACTGAGTGAAAGCACGATGCTTTAGGGGCCAGAATGCTAGGTCTCCTTATAGAACACTTTGGAGACCCAGCTCCTAGCCCAAGGATGGCAGTGCTGAAGACAAGGTTGGGGGAGAGACCGCTGGACGCAAAGGCGAAAGGGCGACACGCGTGTGGGTGTGAAATGAGCGGCCACAAGGGGAAGGCCCCTGGAAACGCCGTGACACATCGGATCGGTGGGGACCATTAAGGAGGAGGCCACTGGACATCAGTGCTGGGGTTAACCTCTCCAACCTCTAGCAGAAGGAACCCCCTCCTCTGGCTCTGGGACAAGTTGGAAGGGGTCTCTCCTTTTGCACCTCTTCTCCCTCCACCCCCTTCCTCTTTGGGAGGGCGCGCTCCTTAAGGCCCTGTCACTGACAGAATCGGTGTGGTGGGGAGCCGGTAGGGACCCGGTGGGGACCCGGGCTGCCTAGAATCCGCAAGGCCCCGCCAGGAGAGATCCCAATCCTTCCACCCGATTCTCTCCATCCCGCCCAGGACAGCTCAAGGTCGCCCATGCAGCGGGGAGTGGTGGCCAAGTTCATTCCTGGGAGTGGATTGAAAAGAGTCTTCGGAGGCTGCTGCCCCAGGCATCCCGTGCTGGTCTCTTGGAGTGGGAAAGCCTTTCCTTTGAATCTTTTTAGTCAGAATTGGGGCGGAGGAATCGAGGGATTAGGAGGGGACGGAGGAAAGGGGAAGTGCTCTGGGACACCTCAGCCCCCTGCCACTAGGACAGATCATACTTCTTGGCAGAGGGTTGAATTCACTACTTCTCAAGTGTCCGAGGGTAGCCTCACCCTACAGACAAACTCCCTTGTCCTCCTGGGAAGTTACATACCTCCCATCCAGGAATGGTAGGGCCAGGACAGTTTGGGGAAATCTTATATGGTTAATGATTTCTACTGGGTCTCTTATCTTCCCTACGTGGAATAAGAGCACCAGGTAAAAACCGAGGGCATGGTGGGAAGACTTTGGCTAGAGGCCAGTCTCTCAGGGTTCTCCTCCTATGGCTCTCTGCCCTCTGCCCTCCCCGACAATAAGTGATGAAACATTCCCTTGGTTATTTTCTCATCTACTAAAGTAGAATTTTACAATTTGTTTTTTTATTGTTTTTAATTGATTTAGAGGAAGAGAGAGACAGAAACATTGATGATGAGAGGGGATTATTGACTGGCTGCCTCCTGCACGTTGGCCCAGGCTGCAACCCAGGCATGTGCCCTTGAACAGAATGGAACCTGGGACCCTTCAGCCTGCAGGCCAACACTCTATCCACTGAGCCAAACTGGTTAGGGCTTAAAATTTGTTTGGAGCACTAAGTTAATCCTTGAAATATTTAAAAT